ACTCAAAAAGTCAAGGGTTGAATGTTTTCTCTCATATGCTAAAGCTAGATCAAAATAAGAAAGAAAAAAAAAGGCAGTAGGGGGACCCCATTAAAATAAAAGGAGATCAGTAGAGAAAAGGAAGTATATCAAGGGGGGATGAGGGAAAGAGTAAAAAGAGAGAAAAAGTGGAATAAATTTGACCAAATTATGCTATGTACATATACGAACATACCAGAGTGAATTCCACTTTTTTTATATCTGTAAAGTACCAATTTAAAAAAAAGGAAATGGAAGACTAATAAAGTAGAGGAAAGGGAACAGGGTGAGGGAGAAGGGAAGGAAAAGAGGAAGTCCTGAGGACTGAAATGGAGCAAAGTATATTCCAGGCATGTATAATTATGTCAAAATGAACCCCACTATTATGTATAACCGTAATGTACTAATAAAAACATTTTTAGAAAATGTATATAGATATTTGGGGGGGGTACTGAGAATTGAACTCAGGGGCACTCTACCATTGAGCCACATCTCCAGCCCTATTTTGTATTTTATTCAGAGACAGGGTCTCACTCAGTTGCTTAGCGCCTTGCTTTTGCTGATACTGGCTTTGAACTCAGGATTCTCCTGCCTCAGCCTACTGAGCCTATGGGATTACAGACATGCACCACCATGCCTAACCATTTTTATAAAATATCTAAAACTATGGGAACAGAGACTGGCAATTATCAATGCTCCTACTTATTTTGTTGTCTCTACCTGTAACAGTTACATATATTCTATTATTGATCAAAATTAAGTTTGAGAGAAATTTCATCACAAAATAAAATTTAAAAATCAAAGAAACTTCCACAGATTTTTGAGGACCCAAAGCTTTAAAATCATAGTCTTAAATTACTTATAGCATGTAATACTAACATTGATTTTTGGGGGGCAAGGTACTGGGGAGTCAACCCGGAGGGGCTTAACCACTGAGTGACATCCCCAACCCCTTTTTATATTTTACTTTGATACAGGCCCTTGCTAAGTTGCTGAGGCTGCCTTTAAATTTATGATCCTCCAGCCTCAGCCTCCCGAGCTGCTGGTATTCTAGGCATGCACCACAATGCACATATTATTATATTGATCTTTAAGTAAGTTATATTTTATTGTAAAAATGTATTTTCTGTATTATTTTATGGGTTTTCATAAGAAAATGGCATAATGCAGTTCATTCTTGTCATGAGCCATCTGTGGCCTGTGTGTGGACTGTGTTGCACATAGTAGCCTAATGAGGGGATAAGTCTGGCATTGGGAACCTCCTGTGGCACCCCCATAGGTATTGATCACCTGATGCAGATGACTTTCCCCTCAAACTCTGCCAGAGATCCCACACAGCACCTGTGATGGGTGTGACCTGCCAAGATGTCAGTCAACCTGATGACTGCAAGACAACATGAAGCAAGACTCTGTCCCTGAAATCTTATTCCTTGCCTTTGATGTCCCCAGATATAAATAAAGCAAGAGTGGGCTCCATTTTGCCAGAGTATAGAAGCTTGATCCATCTGATCAGTCTGCCTGTCCTGCCCCCTCTTTTGAAACTATTTCCTGTGTTCTGTAGTTTTTTCATTGCTCTATTTTTCTTAGCCTTTATTCCACAGCCAGCTAATTTCCACCTCTTGCGTGGGATGTGGGCGAGGATCCTTACTTGTTAGCTACTAGTATGTCTATCTTTGCCCATGAGAAACTGGGTGGAAGACAAAAGGTTGGGTATTCATTCAGGGGAAATAACCTCTGTTAAATTATTTAAATAATGATTGTATTTAAAATACAATACTAAGATGAATCTTTTTAAATAGTAATTCATGCTACATGTGTCAAAGTTCTGTGAGCTAAGGAAACAAATTAACATCTAGAATTATCATGGAAGCCAGAACAATTGAGGAGAAAGAAATTGAGGTGCTCCTTGAAATTTGAGCAGGATCTGCACAGAATTTAGAAAAATTTTCCAAGCAAGTGAGATCTTAAGATAGACATGAAAGTTGTATGTACAGAACACCATGAAGATGACCTGATTTAGAGTGCAGGGTGTATGTTTCCAGAGAAATATTTATAGTAGAGTTAAAACGCCCTTCTTAAGGTGATTGTCATGAAAGTATGGTCTACTAGAAAAGAAACTTCCCTAGTGCATGGTAATTCTGTACTGCCCCATATACAGAATTTTGAGTCATTTTTTTTTTCTGTTCAATTATCACTGTATCAAGGTAGAGAAAGGTTGGTCAATGGGTACTAACTTACAGCTAAATAGGAAAAATAAGTTCCAGTCTGCTAGTATACATTAAGTTGTGCATAGATAGCAGTAATGTACTGCATATTTTCAAAAATTTAGAAGAAAAAATTTAAATATTTTCACCATAAATAAATGATAAATATTTGATGAAATAGATCTGTTTATCTTTATTTGAACATCACACAATATATACATACATTTAATCTTCATATGGTACCTCAGAAGTATGTAGAAATTTGTGTTGATTTAAAAATAATATGATTATCTTAATCCTGAAGTGTAGTTCCTTCAATATACTAATGAAAAATCTGTTTTAAAAGATTTTTGACTGAGACCTTTTGTATGAAGTAATATTTATCTTGCTATTTTTTTAAAACATTGTATTACTTTTGTGTTGCATCAATGGTTTTTTAAATAAAAGTAAACTTCTTTAATAAAAGAGGAACATCCAGTTAAATTCCTCTCCCACATGAGTTTTGGAAATGCTACATTGATGTTAAACTTCTTTAAAAAGATATACTCATTGTTGGGAGCAGCGACTTAATTATGGGTCCTGAACTGTCCTGTGACAGAGGCGATGATGCCCCTCTGGAGAACTCTCAGTGTGAAGCCATCCATTGAGATAGCCCAGTTGCTATGGTGATGCCCTGTTCAATTGGAGGTTCTGTGCCAACCATGAAGCTCTTCAGTTTTTATCCTTGAGGTTTAGATGCCCACTGCTCGGGGAGGTAGAAAGTTATGGGCACAAGCTGATACTCATAATCAGGCTGCTCATACTCATGACCTTGATTCTGCTTGCTTTGAAAAAACTTTCTAACAATAAATCCTTTTGATGTTTAAACATACATATATAGTAAATATGTCACGCTTGCTCATGGTTAGTCTTCCCCCATCAGAGGTTGACTGAAGTACTGTGTCCCGGCTTTTTCTCTATTTGTGTAATTGTTTGTCTTTTCTCAAGCCCCTCACCTCCTAGTTAGGCAACCTGAATAAACAGCTGTGCAGATCATGACAACTAATAGTGTTACAGACCATTGCATATACTTTTATGAATTATGAATCTCTAAGAGAAAATTTATATGACTTTCATCCTCCTTTCTAGTTTTGTTTTGTTTATCCTTTTTAGTAGCATCAATAATGAACATGACTTCTTGGGACAAACTGAGAAAATGCTGATTTAAATCCACCTACATACATATTTCAAAGAAAATGTTCACTGAGTTGAGTTTCTATAATTAGAGAATTAGAACTAATAAAAATTAAATATCCAAGATAATTATTAAGGAGCCTTTCACCTATACCTACTTTGCTGATGACTAAGACACAATGAAAAGGGAAATACAACCATAAGTATGGGAAGTTTTTTTCCAACCATTTAGCACAAACTTTTTGCATCTGAATTTTCTCTAAAATAAAAAAATTAGGAAGAAGATTATAACAACTCTTTTAATAAGTATTTTTTTTTAAATATTGCCTCTTATTCGGCCACAATCTGAAATAATTTTTTTTTCAGCACTGTTAGAGAACATTATAAACAGCCTGCAAGATTTTAGAAGTTTACCCCTAGAAAAGTAAATGTCTTCTTCCATACTTGATGGCTTAACAATAACACCAGTTCATCAAGATAGAAGAATACCACATGGTTAGATTTACCATGTTTTATTGTGGCTACAGCCTTCTTAGGGTCATCTGTAAAAGAAAGCTTCGTGAGGAATTCTAACAAGTTTAGTCCAGTCCCTTTTTTGGAGTAAACAGTGATAATTGAACAGAAAAAAAAAGACTCAAAACTGTATATGGGGCAGTACAGCAAATTATGTACAAGGGACTATACAATTCTCTTCAGCTATTTGTTTTATGGAGCATGAAACTCCTTATAGGCTGGAGAAAATAAGGAGCAAGAAGGTGTGTCATCACACATTGAAGGTGTCACAGGAGAATCTTCTGTACATCCAACAGCCTCAGTCAGCACATAACCAGATGGCAATGAAGCTATAAAAGGTCACAAAGGGTGTGAATTTAGCAAAATGCATAATGTCAGTTGTTTGGGGGCCTTGGCTGCCTGAGGTTTTCATTTCCCTTTATAATTACTTGTAGACTGATTGCAGACTTTTCTAAACAGGATCTAAACAGGATACAAAATGTTTCTTTTAAAAGACTAGAATTTAACATAAAAACTGCTGTTCCTACTTATAGTTTGGGGATCCGTTCTCATGCTGATTCTTAGAAATAAGGTATTAAAGGTCATGCATTCATGAAAGTGGGAGAAGATCAGACAGTTGTGGAGTATTAAAAATTTTCTAGGGATTAAGTAAATCTGACAATGTTAACACATAGGTTATTTATTATCAAAGGAGAAATGTCATCCAAAGTAAGCACAAAGTAAGAAATTTGCAATACTGAATGAAAATATTTTATATACAGAAATAATGTCAAAATTAAATATATACAATCCATTATTTAAAAGGCTAACATATATTATTCTCTTAAAATATAATCCCTAAATTGGAAACTCTTTAAGACAAGTTTTATTATACATAAATGATAAAAGTATCTCAGCACTAAGTGAATTTCTATTTTTTGAAAATATCCTTTGTTTTCATTTAAGAATATTTGCTATACTGTTATTTTTAAAAATATTTTTAGTTGTAGATGGACACAATACCTTTATTATTTAACTTATTTTATTTTTGTGTGGTGCTGAGGATCAGACTCAGTGTCTCACATGTGCTAGGCAAGCACTCTACCACTGAACCACAAGCCCAGCCCCTGTTATACTGTTATTGAAGGCACTGTGTTATACATTCATATTTAATTACAATCTCTTCAGATCTCTCTTAAGTATCTTGGACTTCTTTATGATGCTGTTTTTCAAGGTATAGAATACTTTGTTCTCTGAGCATTATCCATATATCGCTGTTAACTCTAACACATCTCCAGTATAGAAGCTGACAATTTCCACTCATAATACAGTACACATATGCACAGTGGGTCATAGAATTGCTTTGATAACAAAACGATTTTAATTTTGAATCTTTATAAACTTTATATACTTCATAGATTTGATGTTTTCTCCTGAAATATTCATACAGGTTTAGAAAGTATTATTGCAGCCAATACCTTACATGATTGTCTTACAAAATCAGTACACCCTCAGTATCAAATGACATATGTCCACATACATATGAAATAGTTTGTTGATTGCAGCATTCAGCTTCCATTGTTTATGTACATCTTCTGGTACTACAATATGGATTTCTCAATCCTTTCGATCATTCTTATCAGAATGCATTCAGTAACTTCTAGGAGGCTTTCTATCCTGAAAAATTGCATTAGCAGATCCATTCTTGAAATATTTTTATGTTTCTATATTGCCACTCCATACTTTTCAGTGTTCTTTATTGCCCATCAAAATTTTATTCCAACAAGTTTTTATCTTTTGTAGTAATGTCTTTAGAAAACATGGGTCATTCTTTTTCTGTTCCTTTAAATTTTTTTCTTCCTAGAGAAATAAATGAAAAGTTTAATTTTATATTTTTGTAAAAGTATATGCTTTAAAATATTCAATCTTTAATTTCCATCGTATTAGGTCATACTGAAAATTTGGTGTAATGTAAAAGGAGAATCTTGCCTGATATTTTAAAAACTACAATCATATCCATAATTGTGATAGTAAATGTAGGAAATTCAAGGTTGTTGTGCTTTCAGATTCAGTTATCATTTTCACAATTGCAATACTGAACAAAATAATACTGTTTAAACTTTCATTAAAATTTTTAGACTAGTCAATTGAATTTTTAATGTAGAAAAAATGTATTTTTAGTAGAAGAAATACATAACACTAAAACTATTTAGATTATTTTGGCAAAGACGATCAATAAGAATATGCCTGTTGAACTTATATCCTATAGTCTACTCCAAAAATCTGGCCATCATTAGAGAATGGCAGATGTCTGCCTCAAAGGTAGGTTTTATTACCTGCTGAGACCCTTATAAAAGGGCTACCTGTACAATGCAGAGAAAAATGGAGAAAGAAATACCTTACATGAAGCAGACACAAGGGAGCAGTTCTGTGTGGACTCATTCCTCTGAGCCCTCCAACATGGTAGGTTAATTTTTCATTTAGATAATAACTAGTTATTGCATATTTTCTAGGCCAGATATTGTACTCAGTCCTTTACATATATTACTTTATCTGCTTAATAATCCTATGAACTTTCTAATTTTACCATATTTCCCAGATGAGAAAATTGAGCCACAAAGAGTATACATAAGCACCAAGGTCACATCTCAAGTAACTATAATGGCTAAATCTTAAGTTAATCTGTACTATTTTTAGTTTAGTCACAAATTCAGATCTCTTTTAATTATATAGTTAGTAACACCAGCACATGCCATTAATTGTTTCAAAGATTAGCAACAGATTTTGAGGATAAACAGGAGGGAAAATTTTTCATCCTCTTTTTAGTAAGGTTCTAGGACATGTTTTGAAAGTACAAGTTGAAGTTTACTTAAGTAAGAGGATATAATTGAGTAGTAAAAATACAGTTGCTTTCCATATCCACAGGTTTCACATTCTCAGATTCCGTCTGTTTCAAAATGAAAATATATGGGAAAAGAATGCACCTGTACTGGACACATATAGACATTTTTTCCCTGTCATTATTCCCCAAACAATATAGTATAACAAGTATTTACATTGTATTAGGCATTATAAGTAACCTGCAGATGATCTAAAGTATACTGCAAGACATTCATAGGTTATAACAAATGCTGTGTCATTTTATTAAGGGACTTGAGCATCCACAGATTTGATAAGTAAGGGAAGGTACTGAAACCAATTCATCATCAATACTAAGGGACAAGTATACATAGGTATGAAAAAAGGGCAGAAACAAGAAAGTTTGATTTTACCTCTCCATTCCTGAGAACATATTACCTTTCTAAACTTTCCAAATTCTCTTAAAAACTCAGTACTTTTGTATTACCTCTAGCTCATGTATTCATTTCGTTTGTCTAACATTTTCTACTTCTGGTTGAATGCCTAAGTGTTTCCTAACTCACAGGGTATGCAGATTCACTCTGATTCTCTAAGAATTGTATGGAATTTCCATGTTCCCATGTATATATTTGTCAAACAACATAATAACAAGGGAAATGTGAAAGAACCTTTCACTCTCATGAACTAGTATGCTGATTTTTCTTTGTCCCACTCTAGTCAATACATCTTTTAAAAGTTGGCTTTTTTTTTTTTTAGTTGTGGATGGACCTTTATTTTTAATTATTTATGTGTAGTGCTGAGAATCAAACCTCCTTTCTCACACATGCTAGGCAAGCACTCTACCACTGAGCTTACAACTTCAGCCCTATATTTTTAAAGTTTAATCAGATTTAATTAAGTATTCTGCCTTTTAAATTTAGAAATATTTTCTATACTGCTATATAATTTTCTATAATAATACCTAATATATTTATAGATATAAAAATAGAGAAATATATAAGTATATATAAGTATGATATATATTTTTAATCTATCCTTAAAAAGGTATAATATGGGTATTTTATATATATATATATATATATATATATATATATATATATATATAAAACATTTAATTGTTACTTATTTACAAAGGTGGCTTTTAATAAACAGCATAAGCAAGCACAGAAAATTGGAAATAAACTTGTCAAATCTGGGACACAAGAGGACACTACCTTCTATCAAGTAGATAAAGCAATAATAAACAAAACTGTCCAAGTTATATGATCTCTATTTCCACCAGTGCCAATAGGGTTCAGAGTTAATCTTACCATTTTACTTTCTATGGGAAACTTCTGGTACTCAAACAAACAAACAAACAAACAAAATTGTTTTTTTATGTCATCAAATGTTTTTTAAAAAACATTAAGAAATTTAAGAAACCTTGACTTTTTATGTCAGCTAGTAAAATTCCTAAAGAAGGAAATAATAATGGCAGTAATGAATATTATATTACATTTTGAATGCTTTTTAGTACTAAGCACTTAACATGAATTAATGCTATTTAATAATTCCAACATCCTACAATGTGGATACTATTATTTTTCCATTTTGCAGATGAGGAAATTGTTGCCTAGAAGTGTCAAGATAATGTCTTTCAGACTTTGTTGGTTGTTCTTAGTCCCTAATTCTAAGTGGAAAAGTAAAGGGAAATTATCCTTAGCTTGCATCACAATTTTTAATGCCAAAAATTAAAGAAAAAATTGACAGGCCTATATACCCCCAGTTTTAACACATATCTGTCAAACACATGTTAGTTGCTGTTTTACTGACTAGGAATCATATGATTTTGGACATATCTGGATTAAAGTTATTAAGTTTGGGAGATAAAAATTGATCATGCCCCATGCAATTTATCATCCTAATCTCCTTGCAAGTAATTATGGCAATGAAGTATTCTTTTTTAGTCCCCTTTCACAAACTATTAGTTCCCTTGCAACAAATCAATAGGCACTTTCCAAGTGGAGACTTGCTCCCAGAATGAAGTAAATATATCTCAATATTAAGTAGCCATAAGCACTTTCAATTCTATGATATTGAATGGGATGGTGAGAGAATAATAGTATCCAAGCACAGAAGTAATTTATATTTTTGTTCAGACTAAACACTCTCAGCTTACCTTGCTGGGGCAGCTCAACAATTTTAATGTGCCTTCTGAAATTCTTGATAAGTGGAGTTTGAAATCCTCACTCATATTCATTTTAAGAAATTGGTTCAACTTGCGAGTAGCACGATTTAGAAAAGCAGCTTCCTATTATAGGAAAAAGTTACAAGGGCTGTGGTTCAAATAAAATATTAGAAACTGCAGCATTCTTAAGGAGCCTAAAGTCAGAGCAAATTATTAAGTAATACCCCACCTCCACCCCAGCTTTCTCTTCCTGTTAATCACGTGACTGACAAGTACAGGACTGAAACTGTTTAGCTCCTAGGTGACAGCATAAAATGCCCAGAACTTGGTTTAATGATTATCTGACTCTTAAAGTCTCTTTACTCTGTTATATGTGACCTTATCATTTATAGTTGAACGCATTATAAGATTACTCAGTTTTAAACAGAATAACTAAATGAGAAGGCTTCTGGAAGCAGTAATGATGAAAAAGGTATGTGTGTTTTTTTCTTACTGATACTACTTTCTAACCTTTGAGCTATGTATGAATAGCTAGCTGCTAATAAATAAAAAGGTCCATAGTCATGTGAAACACATTTTTGTAGATATTTAAAGAAATTAAAAAATAAAGAATTTATGGGTATAATATGAGATGTCATGAGATTAGTTTAGATACTGTGAGTTAAAAAAAAATTAACAAATAGTACAAGAGAGTCTGTAGCAAGAAACCATACAAACTTTTAGACATTTTGTACATTGTAATATTACACCAAGTAGAGGTGGTATTGATTTAAAGTTAAGCAAATATTGAAAGAAAAAAATTTTCGAAATGTCTACACCTAAGTTATATCCATGACTTATGTTTGTCTATTTGCAAGCAAACAAACACTTTAAAAAGTCTTTTCCCAAATAAGAAATTTAGAAAAAAGAGATATGTGAATTCAATAGTTTTAATATTTTGAAGGTGAAAAATAGGATGGTATATAAAAAATTATTATCTATTAAGCCCAGGGCTACTTGTAAAATAATAGCATAAAAAGCATAATATAATTTAATTGAATAATGGACTTGTGTGGATAGAACCAAAAGAACATGCCATTAATATAATTGTCTAACAGGGGCACACAAAATTGGAGCTTCTATAAAATCAAGAACGACAAACTCTAAATAATTATCATTACCTTTGAATCACCACATGAATGTCTTTTAAAAAAGTTAGATTCATTGTTTACACAGTCGCTATCAACTTCTATCATTTTTTCCTGTAAAAAATAAAATAATATGGTTAAACTGAGGACTTTTCTAATATTTAGTAATTATAAAAATATCCATCTTATATATAATACCTGGTATTTATATGTTATTTTTAAGAGAATAATTTTTGCCTGGTTTAACTTACTAGGTATGAACAGTAGTTTTCTATAGCTAAAGGATAAACAAGTATGCAATCCCCTCACATATTTAAAGCACTTCTTACATTCAATAGTTTAATTCCAGAATTCACTAAGAGAATTTGGCTCATTTAGGGAAATAAACAACCTATTTTAGAGGTCACACTATGTAGACAAAATACTGTAAAATTTGAAATAAAAAAATTTGATGAATTTAAGAGGTCACATCCCATTCAATAGCTTGATATTGATCAAACAGGGAAGGGAATTTACATTAGAATGAAGAGAAAAACTTCTTGACACCAGAGTTAAGGTTGAAATCCATTCTATAGCATTTTTAACAAGACAATTTGGTATTGTTGATATAGAATTTTGCTGAGAAATAGTGAGATTGAATATGTGTGTGTTTGTTATAAACGTAGAGTGGAAAAACACTGGCACTTGCTCACTTTTCATTTCTAAGAAATGCAGATTAAGAAGTCAGGATTATCTGAATCAAGGATTTAGAAGACCTACTTGAAAGAACAAGATTTCAGATTCTCTTATGCACAAGATTGGACTAGCTCTGTCCAGCAAACTAGCAATTCCATGCAAACAGAGCTTCTAGAAGGACTTCATGCAGTCTTAGACTATATGACATCATCAAAGAAAGAGGATAAAAGTACAACAAGGACAGGATTTAGTTGTAGGATTCTGATCTTCATCTGCCCCTCAGAAAAGTGTCCATCACTCTTATCATGTATAGAAAGCATAATGGTCTCTGTGTTTGTCCTGACTTTAAAATGTATAACACTATCTGTTTTACTCACAGGATATCATGTCTGAATACACAATGTTTTTATTTACCCATTCAATACATACTAAAGCCCAATGTGCAGAGTTTTCTACAAAATTCTGGAAAATACAGTCCTGGTTTCTTGTGCCATTTGATAAAAAGGGTGATTATGCATCTCTCGGGCACATTTATACCACTTCTTTAGAAAAATATACTTTTGAAAATAGAAGATTTATTTCTGTCAAATACAAACATACTGCAAAGATCTCAAGTACAAAAGCTATATTTTCTTTAACTGTCTTCAAGTTGCCATTATGCACATTCCCGAAAAGGTAGTGAAGAATTAATATTTTCCTGTCAAACTATTTTCCTATTGATTTTCATTAAATTCCAAGAAGGATAATAAATCATATATAAATTTTTCTTTTTTTTTATTTTTTTTAAATTTTTTTTTATTGGTTGTTAAAAACATTATAAAGCTCTTGACATATCATATTTCATACATTAGATTCAAGTTGGTTATGAACTCCCAATTTTACCCCAAATACAGATTGCAGAATCACATCGGTTACACATCCACATTTTTACATAATGCCCTATTAGTAACTGTTGTATTCTGCTACCTTTCCTATCCTCTACCATCCCCCCTCCCTCCCCTCCCATCTTCTCTCTCTACCCCATCCACTGTAATTCATATCTCTCCTTGTTTATTTTCCCATTCCCCTCACAACCTCTTATATGTAATTTTGTATAACAATGAGGGTCTCCCTCCATTACCATGCAATTTCCCTTTTCTCTCCCTTTCCATCCCACCTCATCTATCTGTTTAATGTTAATCTTTTCTTCCTGCTCTTCCTCCCTGCTCTGTTCTTAGTTGCTCTCATTATATCAATGAAGACATTTGGTATTTGTTTTTTAGGGATTGGCTAGCTTCACTAAGCATAATCTGCTCTAGTGCCATCCATTTCCCTGCAAATTCTATGATTTTGTCATTTTTTAGTGCTGCGTAATAATCCATGGTGTATAAATGCCACATTTTTTTTATCCATTCATCTATTGAAGGGCATCTGGGTTGGTTCCACAGTCTAGCAATTGTGAATTGTGCTGCTATGAACATCGATGTAGCAGTATCCCTGTAGTACGCTCTTTTAAGGTCTTCAGGGAAAAGTCCAAGAAGGGCAATAGCTGGGTCAAATGGTGGTATTTTTCTTTGGTTAAACATCGAACATTTAATTTTTGCCATGGCACACTTCAAGAAAGAAAGTAGACCAACATATAGACATTAGTTATGATATTTTCCAAATTCACCAAATATATTGTATGAAAATGTGCCATATAAATTGTGATAATTTCTTGGCACATTTTAACAAATTGCATGACACATTGTGTGGATATTTGAAAAACATTAGTGCTTAGGCCAATGTTCCATGTAACTAATAAAACTTGTTTGTGGCAGATCTTCAGAAAGGTAATGTTATACCAGTTGATTTGTTGGCCAAATGTTTGATAGAGATGTAAGGGTGTTACTAGAACCTTAAAATATGGACTTATATAAAGGTCACAATTATTATTAATAATTTGACTTTAGCAAAATTTATGAATATATTTAACACAGGTTTGCATGGGTGCCAATTACAAATGCTTTCTAAAACTGTTTTTAATTCAAGTCCTATCAGAGAGCACTTCAGAGTAAGACTGTATAACTGTAGAACAGAATCATAGGTCCTCATCTCTTGATTTAACAAAAAGTAGAATTATTTGACCAGTACCACAATAAGTTTCTTATACATATCTTAATATATGTAAAGATTACTTCAAATTTGTTGTGAATATGGAAAATCAAAGAGAAAGGCCAAGATTACATTGACTGTAAGCTGCATTATTTTCCAGTATCAAATATGATGCCATGTTATTTCTAAAATACATAGTATCTTTTCAGTTTGTAGAATTAGATCTTTGAATTCAGCAGTTTTATCTTTGAAATTTTTTCTATTACATATTTAAGTTTCTTCTATTGTAAAGTATATCTATATCACTTCTTCTTTTATGTATTTATCACTAAAGAATTTTTTTTTCATTTTGTGTGGTTTTCTTTACCATGTATTACACATGCATGTTTTAATGGTGCATTCATTTCTGGTCTATGTTTTAATGTTCATTTATTTCCCCTGAAATCAAATCTAATATCTTCTCTGACATTGTATTTTTTTAATGTTTTTACTTTGTTTCTTAAAGAGTACTGAGAAAAATGTTAGCTGTTTTTCCCCTGCTTTCATGGATAATTAATTTTTTGATGTATATTCTTCCTTTTCCTTTTGCTTGCTTATATATTTGTGTATTCTTTTATTTATTTTGGTAGCATCAGAGTGCTTTATTTTTTGTTTTCTGAAGAGATGCTAAAGCAGAATACTGTTCAGCTAGTATTCGACATCTGTACCCATTTCATGGGAGAATGTATTAGTTTCCCAGGGATGCTGTAATAAATGACCAAAAATTTGGTGGCTCAAAACAGTAAAAATTTACTCATAATTCTGTAGGTCAGAAATCCAGAATCAGGTTGTCAGTTGAAGGCTCTGGGGAGGATCCACTTTTGTGTGTCTCTTCTATATTCAGATGGCTGACAACATGCTTTGGAGTCCCTTGCCTTAATGATCACACAGTTAATCTCTGTCTCTATATTCACAGTCCCCTCTTTGTATGTGTCTAGAATCTCCCTATGACTCTATAAAGACAATTGTGAGAGCAGTGGATCATGCAGGTTAATCTCCCTGTGTCAAAATTCTTGACTTCAATTTGTAGATTCCTTTATCTTATAAATTTTCAGGGATCAGAATTCAATATCTTTGGGTGGCTATTAGCATACTAGAGACACAGATGTTCATCTGACCGTTGATGTTGGGTTTGGCCAAAAGGTACACTTTTGGTAGTGGATGTTAGCAGACTGTACTGGAACAAACTAGAAATGTACTTGCACTACAGATTTTGGTTCCCTTGACTTTTAACATGAAGGTAAGTATCTGGTAGTATTCATATCTATTACTGTATAATTAACTACTACAAAGGTAAAATAAGACAATAAAAATTTGCTATCGTACAGTCTGTAGGTGAGAGATTTGGGAAGCATTTCTGAATCTGGGAGCTTCTGGATCTGCACATTCCATGAGGATGCAGTAAAGATGTAGGTCTTGTGTGTGGTCACCTGGGCTTGAGGAGGACAGGAGGATGCATTTGCAAGACATCTTGTGTGTATGGCTATTAAAGGAAGCCTCAGTAGCTCATCACATGAGCCCAGCCATAGACTTTCTTCAGTGTCCTTACAGAATGATGCCTAGTTTTCTCCAAGTGTGCATTGCACAAGAGAGGAAGCAGGAGGCTCTATAGCTTTTGCAACCGAGTCTCACACTGCCATATCTACCTTATTCTATTTGTAGGGGATGAGTCACTAACTCCAGTCCACACTTAGTGGTAAGGAATGAAACTCACCCTTTTAAAAGAAAGCGTGTAAAGGAATTTGGGGGCATATACTAACACAACCACACAGTTACTCCTCCATCTTTTGATCTTTTGACTAGGGATAAAATATGTGGAGATCATCAACTCTAGTCAACCTGAATACCTGTGAATCTGAGATATGTGTGTGTGTGTTTGTGTGTGTGTGTGTTTTCATATCCTTTTTTGGTTATTTTTTATACAGCAAATGCTAGCAGATACAGAAATCCTGCTTTGGGGATCAATCAGTTGTCCAAAAATAAAGAAGGAAGGGCAAAGGCAATGAACAGGGTCAGATGCTCATTCCTACCCAATTGCTATATTGTTTGTTATAAGATGGTTCTCTTCTTAATTTTTCCATGTTACTATCTTCAGTAGAGAAATTCAATATAGTTCACAGTGCATCTTCAGCATCACATGTGCTAAGATGACTAAAGTCTATCAATTGCTCATAGCTGATTCTGGTCAGCAGCTACATAACTCATTGTTGCTTCTTTTCCTCCCACATTTCATTTATTTTTGGTGGTCTTTGTAAGGGTTGCAAAGTTTTAATATAGAGAAGAAAGATTCAACCTTAAGTCTTTTGCCGTTTTTTGAACATAAACTT